TTGAAATGATAAAGTCTAGATCATTATGTAGTTTTCATAAGTTCCATGTGAACATTTTCATCATTTTGTATTTCAATTTGCAACCTCTCTCACAATTCCTTCTTTTAAAAACTCGAACCTTCCAAACACTCAGCTGCAGCAGCTGACCGGAGGTGGTCAGTTCGACTGACGAGTGACCTAGAACCACAGCTATCTAAATAAAGATTGTGTTAAAAAAAATTAAGAAAACAAAACACAATTTGAGTCACAAGGCATCACTGTTACGAAAATAGAGTTCAACTGTATTTTGTGCCCAAATGGAAAGCATTTTGGCTTAAATTTGTTTAAAATAGCTTATTGCTTGTAATTTTAGTGTAATGATGATTTGGGTAGCTGGAATACACAATAACATCTACCTTATCAACACAGAACACAGAATCATCACTTCATTAAAAGCTAACTAGAAAATTTGGAAGTTCAATAAAACGCCTTTTATTTTCCTGAACTCCGGGTCAATTCACTGCTTGTGCTATTCTGTACGGAGTCTTTCAATATTAAGCGTCCTTTTCACTCTCTAGACCTTAGCATTTCAAGAAAGGCATTATGTTTACAAATAATAATTGCATGTAAATATGGTCTTGTATAAAAAAAAACCTTTTAAATTATTTTAAACTGGTTTAAAGCTAAGCATATTGAAGGGCAAATAAAAATTCTGTTTCCCAGGCCATTTTAAGTGAGGAAAGAAAAATCCAATATAATTTGTCTTGACATTCAAACTAAAACAATGCTTTGAAAAATGCAATCACTATCACACCTTCCACTCACTGGTTCAAAACAAAGCTTTTTTTTCCTGCTAATACAGGGTTTGGACCCAACAGTGGCAATAAAATCCAGGATCAAATACAGATATACCTTTGTTTAGAAATAAGACTTTCAAAAGAAGATACAGAAAGAGAGAGAATGGCTTAACACTGAGGAAGTGAGAGAAGTGGCTACAAGAGACATAAAACATACAGCACACATGTTTTCCTACAGCATCAAAATGGTTCTGATGCGCACAAAAGAAACAGATTCTCAAATGTCTGGGGTGCAGGGAGGAGTTCTACAAGCCTCTTCTAACTAATCTCTGTTCAGGTTGCAGTTAAAGGGCCTTTATGCTGGATAAGCATTAAAAAGAAGAAAAAAGGGTGTATAAAAACAAAGATCCCTGAACTGAACATGAGGTGTCCTGTTGCTCAAGGATAAACATGCACACAACGTGATCTTTCACAGTACAGTCTGCTTCACGCTGCAATACAATTTTCATGATTAATGCAAGCTGCAGACAAGCTCATCTGGCTTTCACATTACAGGTCATGGGAAGCAAATGTTTCTTTTCTTCCTGAGACTTTTGATTCCTGCTACAAACACAAAGTATGCCAGCCAGCTTCCATCTAACAGCAAAACGGTGCTGAAGACAAGTGATCAGTGCATCAGTGTAAACTACTGGTTCTGTCAGGGCAAATCTAGAGCCCCAAACTAACCTCAGCCTGGAAATCAAGCTGTGCAGCAACAAAGGAATCATAGCCACTGCATTCCTTGGAATAAGTCACTGCAACCCAACAGCTAAAGCAAATACAGAAGCAAGGCAGCCAGAAATGGCATGAAGTGCCAGAGCCTCTCTGGAACCGTATCTCAGTCTGCAGGGCACCACGTTACCCCCGGCTCTGCAGATGGATGCACTTGTTCTGACACAAGCATTTTCACACTGTATGAACTTAGGAGTAGGTACTATGTGTTTATCGTATTTTATATGACAGTCTGTTATGATCGCTGATGAAAAGATGGGCTTAACTGTTCTGCTGCAGTTATGCTGTTATTCCTTCCCCCTCTTAACCAGTGAGAATACTTTAGGAATCACTTTTCCTATTTCATCCAGAACAAAGTTGTTTGCTTATTTTTCTGGAATAACAACATGGATAGTTACACTCAAGTAACTACTCTGAGAAAAGCTATACTGGTTCATCTCCCTATCAGAGAAGCCTTAAAATAATCTGTCTCCTGACAAGGCAAATCTATTTCTCCTTCAAGCTCTACACCTGATATCAGACACTGGAGTAGAAATGCTGACTATCCTCCACTTCAAGAGTTGTTCACATACAGGATCAAATAGGAAGAGAGGGCAAGAGGACACTGGATTTTATTTGAACCAAAAGCTTTAATTATCCTGAAAAAGGAGAAAAAAAAAATCCTTGAAAGACAGAAAAAAAAAAGAAAATGCCTTTTGGTTTGGTAAAGCCAAAAAACCTCCCAGTCTGGAGCACTGCCGTGACACTGAAGCTCAGCATCAAAAGCAAGAGAAAAGGACGGTGTCTGGAGCAGACACACACAGAAAAAAAGGTACGTGGAATACAGTAGATTTTCTGTCTTGTAATTTACAGCTAGGAATTATTTCTCATATTTTTCATAGCCTTTTAGAAAGCACTGCTGTGACAGAATCACCCCCATTTAGACTCTTGGTGTTCAGCTTTTCCCACCATGTCAATCACTGTTTTAGATGAACACTGGTATATACCTAAACATGGTACTGAAGAATAAACTCTTTCCAAAGTTAAAAGACACAGTTCCAAATTTAAGGACAAATTCTGCAGAGGTTACTGAAGGGCACAGTGCTCATCACAAGAGGTCTGCAAGCACCAGTCCTTAAGGCTACAAGAGACATTCCTAATACAGTAGCTGTTAAGAAAACTATGGCTCAGGTAGCAAAAGATTTTTGATCATTCAAGCTGCCTTTCCTAGCCCATTCTTTACAGAAAAAAAAAAATAAAAAAAATTTTAAAAAATCACAGAAAAAATGCAAATAAACTACACACTCATCGCTTTAAGTGTTTAAGATCACAGAACAATCTTAAATTGTTCTTAAACAGGAATAAGCAATCTGAAAACTGGCCAATGTAAAAAAAAAATAAATACAGATCTTTAGGGAAAAAAAGCAAAAAGTCCTCAAACATTATGTAATTATAGAAGCTGTGGGTCAGAAAGGGAAATGCTGTCCAGTGGTTGGAAGGTGCATTGCAAAAATACTTTTAACATTGATTGCATTAATTTGCACAACAACAAATTTAGAAAAGGTAATCAATAACAGTATGTCTGAGAAACATAATTTCACTAGATACATTTTACAGAGAGATAGACATGATTTACTACATATTTAACCTTCTACTCAAGCAGAGTGGGAAAATTACATTAGAAAACCAGCCAAGTACATCAATGAAGTTATCCCATTAGCCCAAACAGCCAAATCTTCCCGCTGCCTTTTTGTAATGAATCTTCTGGTAACAGATTAAAACATAATTCTAAATTTCTGTTAGTTTAATTTCAGTAATTCAGTCATCCTGCTCAAATGAGAAAAGTAGCATCTGTGATTTATTTTTAAATGGCAAAATAAATCCATAAGCTTAAAAAAACCCCTTTTGTTCCCACCCTGCTTGCATTACAAAGCCATCAGTCGAAGCCACTAAACTGACTTTCTAGGTTATATCTGTCAGTCACAATACTGTTCAGAGAACATAATGTCCAAAAGCCACCGAAAACATCCAAACCTTGTAGCTTGTTTGAGGAGTCTAAACTACGTGAACGACAAGATCAGAGTTCAAGAGTGCAGGTAAAAACAGGATTCTATGCTGGCATCAAACGGTATCCAAATTCCGTATCCAAACAACTAGTGGAAAACTCATTTGCCTGTACAGTAGCCAATACATTCTTTGGAGCAGTCAAGTATTTTTCCTAGTGCTTAAACATGCACTACTGTATGAATACTAACCCTTACGGGAGTCAGAGTTATCTCCACAGAAACGCATCGGAAGAAACCTTAAGCTAAAGGGACACTGTCAGATTCAAAATTTCCTACTGAAATAAGAGTCACCTGCTACTCATACAAAGCATTTTTTCTAAAAAGCGTTATTCTCCCTCCACTTACTGTTAGGCTTTACTTTGAGCATTTGAACACTACAAAGCAATGCTTATGTCCTAAACAACAGCAGTTCCTTTTACTTTTTAAAAAAGTCATTAAACTATTTCTGTACTATTTTGCAAACACTGCTCCTTACGGTATCTGACAATGCCCCTTTGAATGTGAGCAAAGTATGAACAAGCTGCATCTAGGTCTGATTAAAAAAGTCAACATTTACACAGGGTAACCTTTAAAATCCCCAATATTTATCATTGCCAAAAGTAAAAATATTTTTAACATCTAAAATCTTAATCATTCTGTTTAATGTTGAATATGTCAGAAGCATTAAATGATGATGCTTAACATCATAAATACTGTACATCACAACTTGCGTCCATGACTTAACAAAGTCTCATTTATGACAATGTCAAAAGCCCCTGAAAAGAAAAGTTAAAACTCTGGTTTTGACACTTCCCTGCCTTAAGATGGCGTATGTATTCAGTGAGCAGAACCCACCATTCTCCATCTTCTGCAGTATCGATATGGAGCTGAGGTGCTGACAGACTCAGATGTTTTCACCACTGGGCTGTCAGACCCTGGAGCAGGACAAGACACCATGGTCCTGGGTTGAGAATGGCTAAAATGCTGCTTCCCTTTGTTACTCCCATTGGGGGAGCAGCATTCTCAACAAACCTGGGGTCTAATTTTCCTAAGCTAGGCACTGCGGAGGATACCAGGCAAGACACTACCATTTCCTAAAGTACGGAGAAAACACTACTGTGAATCTCTCCTGGGGCCCTGCAGATGAACACACTTTCTTAAACTTTTGGGTTTGGTTTTTTTGGTTTGGGTATTTTTGTTGGTTTTTTTACTTTATCCTGGTTATATATGCAAGTATAGATTTACCATACACTCAAGGAGTCTCATCCCATTTTAGCTAAAATTTTCTCTTTTTTGCTGCACATTGGTACGTAAGACTTTAAACTCTGTATGGGAAAAAATAACTGTATTCCAATATAGTGTTTCAACAAAGAGGGAAAAATTAAGAAATCTATTAAAAATTCTGGCAGTTTTGTTCAGTAAAGGTTTTTTTAAATTTTTTTTTTATAAAAATGTACCAAGGAGTAAACTTCAAAGAAATCAGATGATGCATATAAAAATAGTTTTCAGTGGCTCTGGAGGGAAAAAAATAGCAAAAATAAAAGGAAATAAATGAAAAAAATAGCAAATAATAGTTTCTTTTTACTTTCTTCACATCACTGAGCATCCTCTAGAGGTTGTTCTGGGATCCCCCTGAAATAAGACAGACAAAGTTGAACTCAGTTCTTACTAGCCTTTGATATTGTAAGCCTAGACTGGTTATTATCTCAATTGTTAAATGCATTTTTTTGTAGTTTAGTTATATTCAGGGAACTTCATAGCTATAGAGAAAGCATAGCACACGTCACAATCTTGCAGCAACAGAAACTCCCCCTTTCCTGGCTTTTAATAGTTGTATTTTCCAATGGTTATATTCTGCTGACAGCAAGAATGCCACGGACTCTTTCACAGGAATAGGAGGAACACCGACTGCTAAAACTAATCTTACGAACCCTAAAAATAGTTGACATCACTGCAGCACTGTAAAGCTGTGACCTGTCACATACTTCCATAGATACCCTGGCATCCTGACGCGACATTAGCCACTGCTTCAGCTGTGCCATTAGTGGCTCGTGCAGCAGCTCCTGGAAGGTCGCTCCGTTATACTCTGTGCACTGCAGTAATGCGGAGGGCTGCAAGGCATTCGGAGGCTGTCCTCTGCAGGCATCCGTCGGAAAAACGGATCAGGAAGCTTAGAGCTAGCAGAAGTTGAAGGGATCCCCCCTAAATCTTATGCCTGACTAATCCAACCAACAAGGCACAAGTTAAACATCTGGTCTGCATCTTATTACCTGTTGGTTGAAAAGGTCTTCCTCTCCAAACTCTGCTTCATCCTCTTCCTCTTCGTTCTCTCGCATGACTACTGATTTAGTAACGCTTCTCACCGCAACTTCCTACACAAAATGACAGATAAGGAGATGGCCAGTAGTCTACATCTATCTCAAGTTTTTGCTATACCATCAATGTAATACCCCTATTAAACTTCAGAAGGCTTAAAGCAACTTGCCCTAGATTGAATGTTCGCTATGTAAGCGAATGCTGATAATATCCTGCAAACCACAACAAAGGCATGGTAGTGTAATTTAACTTCAGGGATATTCTTTCATTACCTAGGGAGCTGAGGAAGCAGCCATGTTTCAGGTGGTCATTAGTCAATGTTATACAAGCTCACAGCAGACCCAGCTAGGAGCTGTCTGAAATATATCATAATGTGAGAAAAACTAAAGTTTCTCTGTATGGTTACACAGCATTAAGAATATGCCTAATTTCTACTAAATATTCTGTATCAATTGCATATATCAATTGTCAGGACAGTCTTTGAAACCAGGCATGAAAAAGAATTCTAAAACCCCAGAAAGCTTCCTTTATTACCAAATTATAACACTACTTCGTAGTAAGAAATTCTTCTGTGCAATTGCACCCTTGAAATCATAGGTACATAGTTCTACTTGTGAAAAAAGTCGACCTAAACATACACTTCTGAGCAGGGATACTAAAGGTAACCACCCTGGGAACAGATGTGGATTTGCACATTTTTCAGATACTAGTTTAACCACTTCTCTTTGAATACTAAGCCAGTTAGCTTGCTATTGGTACAAGTGACCTCCCTCCTACCTTGTCCTGTGCTGCTGTTCTGCACAAAGTATTTCCACAGAATTGGCACAAGAAAGGCAGCATGAAAACTGATACAGCTGTGGTTGTCTCACTTTCCTATTCCTATCAGATCGCTGGGATAATGGCACATTTATGAGTAACAGCCAAGCACAATCCTCCCTTACAGGAGTCTTCTGCAGGGACGGTTTTAGAAAAAAGTCAGTTGCAGGCAGATGTAAGACAACACAGAATACATAAAAACCTGTGCCAAATGAAAGCTTCTGATATACTTCCAGCACTGAAAGGACAGCTCTCTTCCTATGTTAGTATTTACATTGCACCCCAGAATATTGTAGGTGCTGTATAACATAACTTTGAATCGCCAGCAGCACTTGCTGTCTTTGTGGCATCTGAAAATACTCAAATTCCAAACAAGTTATCTGCTAGCAGGGTGCTTTTCTAAAACAGGAAAAAAAGAAGTCTATGGATATAATCAAGATGACCACCACAGTTTTCCAGAATTTCCCCAAAATCTCAGATACATACAGATATTTAATTATTTCAGTGTTATAAACGGTCTTATTTTAGAAGACAATAGGAGAGATCTTAAAATCAGGATTTAGTTGTGTGTCCCCTGCCCCACCCCCAAATTAAAGCATTTGGGAGATAACCCAGCCCACAGCTTTTTTTTTTCCCTCCCTACAGACACAGCCTACCTCTCCTTCAGCGTTTACGAGGTATGTGCGGATATTTCCTCCAGTGCCCCAGCTGCCTTGGTTCTTCCACACGAGAACAGAAGGGGGGCTATGAGATACGCCTGCATCTGCACCCCAGATCTAGCAAGAAAGATATTCTGTATCAATTTATGCACATTTTTAAATATACAAAACCCCCTAATTCTCCTACTTCTCTCTACATACCAGTTTTGTTTCTGAATTCCAACGGCAATTTTACCCTGCTTTTACCCACACTATCACTTGTAGTAAGATATTATTCTCAGTTTACAACAAAAAGTAACACTAGCCACAAAAAAATAAAGTTATCTAATACTGTAGTCATCATTTCTTTTTTGAAGATACATATTTCTCCTACCACTGTCTCAATGACTATACTGTATGGAGCCAAGACATAAAAATGCAGCTTGTAGAATATCAATTCAATCCTATATATGTATCTGAGCAATTGATGCTTAGGTAGAAATAGCTGGAACTAATAAAAATAAAGCCTTTTTTTTCTACTGAAAGAACATCTGTTGCAGACTGAAAACAGAATACAAAATTATAGAAAAGCAGCTGTTCTACTACAGATAAGTCTGAGAACATCTAGTCTTTAACTAAAGTCCACTAGACCAAACGGATGCTCTGAAATGTCCCTATTTCATTAAGAAGCTGAGCAGGATTAGTGTTCCCAACCTGGGCAACGGTGTTTGAAAAAAAAAAAAAACCAGCCCTTGACCCACCCCCCAAAATACCTTTTTCTTCAACTTTCTCTGTCCCTGAAATGGTCTTAAAATACTCAAGTGCTAATATAGAAATTCAATTTCTGTTCTACATTTTATAACTGAAATCCTGCTCTAGCTCTGAAGTGAAATCCATTAAACCAGAAGTTATACCCCAAATCAGGCTGTACCAAACGTCAAATTTGCAACTGCCACCCACCACTTCAACAAAAGATGTTGGTGACATACTGTAGGTTTAACTTACTGTTACAGTCTGCCCAGCTCTGAGGACATACTTCGGAGTAAATTTGTAAGCAATTTCTTCTCCATCTCCAATTTGTCTTTTCAGTCTCCAGTTACCCAAAGACTGATCCTAATGGAGAGAGTCATAGGTTATTTAGGGTGAGCAAAACAGAGCAAACAGGCATCAGAGCCTTCTCTAGGTCTCTTTGTTATTAAAATAATGTGAATATAAATTTATTTACATGGTGGTTAGACATCTGCATTCCAACTTGAAAGTATTTTTCTACACCCACCACTAGTCTGAAATGTAAATCCCCTAAGGTCATTCAGCAAAATTAAACAAGATACACATCACAAAAATAATTCTGCCTAGAGCTAGAAAAGCTATTTACATGAGCAAGGCACCAGCACACATGTTTAGACATCTGGGACACAAAATACGTTCTCTTCCTGCAGCAAACATCACACTCAGGCTAGCACACGCCAACATTCAACTTTCAAATGCCCCTGTTAATTATTGCAGGATGCTGCACTTTGCTCCTGCTCTCCAAGTGACTCCATCTACTTGTGCTACAAAAGGCTGCGTAACACTTCAATTTAGCTGCTCCTCCTTGTTTTCTGGGAGTTCTGCTGACACATACCTTCTCCGAGTTGTTCTTCAGTTGAACATATTTGCCCTCCAGGTCTATCTCTTCTATGCTGATGCTTCCTGTAGCTGAAGCTTGCTGGGACATTTGGAAGCTACTGCTACTACTGCTGCCACTAATACTTCCAGTGCCAATTCCACTGGTTCCACTGCCTGAAAGTTCCTCTGCTTCAAGACGTTTTCTCTTGCCTCGGGAAGAGCGAACAAGTGAAGTACTGCTACTGCTGCTGCTGGAGGTAGCCCGAGAGACTGTAACACGGGAGGAGGGACTTGGAGACAGCTTCAACCTTAACACAATCAAGCAAGCATTTTAATTAACTCACCCAGGGAACTACACACGAAGCAATAATGCTACAGCACACTCAGTAACCAGACTGTAATATGCCCCAAGCTGAAAGCAGCCTCGCTGTGTGTGTCAGAAGGACTGCGTATGAGAGAAGGGGGGGCGGCTATCCTTCCCTGAGAAATTTTCTGGTGGCATGATTAGGTGACAGGGAAAGCAGTGCTAGTGAGAGCAACACAGATCACTTACACTGGAGGCGGGGGTTATCTACTACTAAACACACTATTCTTGAACCACACCATTTAAAAACAGGAAAACACAGAACTATAAGCACTTAAATAAAAAGAGGAGATGAATGTCAAGCACAGAACAATAGTTCACTGTACTCTGAGATGAGAACACTTGCAAGTGTTCCATGCAACACACTGTGGTGTGAAGCTAATATGACTTCAGTGAAACAAAATCTGGGCAGTCCTGATAAAAAAATAAGCATAAGAAATGAAAATAACACCTGCTAATCCTAAGAAAAGTGGAATCTCTACGTACCTTTCCTCCTCTCCTTCCAGGAGTTTTCGGTAAGCACTGATCTCCATGTCCAGTGCTAACTTAACATCAAGCAGTTCCTGGTACTCTGTAAGCTGCAGCTGCATCTGGTCCCTCATTTCTGTCATTTCCCTCTCCTTTGCATCTAGCATCTTCCTAAACTTTTCCCGCTCACCAGCCATCATCTCCTCCAATTCACGGATGCGATCTTCCGCTGCACTAGCCTAGGTAGACAGCACAATGGAAAACCCAGTTGGCATCTATGTTGGTACAGCAAAAAAGTTAAAAATTCATCTCCCTCCCAAATGAACATAACAAAGATTTTTCTCCCTAAAATTCAGAAAATATGAAGGGACAGAAAATGTTAATATATCCAAACACAGTTGTCTGTACGATTGATGAAAGCAAATTTAGTCCCTTTACCTGTTTCTGAAGGCCAGAAAGCTGGTAGCTGAGCGTTTCTATTCTCATGCGAGCCTCCTTCAACTCCTCTCGAGCTGCACCAGCAGCTTTGTCATTTTGGTCAGAAGACAGTTTGGCATTCTCCAGCTGGAAGGCAAGTTTTATACAAGTCACTTGCATTGAGTTAGATAACCTGCAAATAGCCTTTTGGTAAAAAATAAAAGCTATTTAATCTTAAATAATTTTAAGTGGAAATATGGGAAGTTTATAACAAGGATTGCCTAATATTAAGGAAACGCCCTAAGGGCCAGGAAAATCCCTTTCAGTCCTATTCCTATAGGATTTGCTCATGCTATTAAAAAACCCCAGTCTATTAGCCCTTCCATTATATAAGCAGCCTTGTAGTTTCCAAAAACTGAGGTTCACGTGCTCACACTACCTGCCTGTTTGTTGAAGAACAATCACACTGGGTCCGAGCAAAGGCCGCCTAGTTCACGTCCTGGTCTAACAGCTCCCTGGATGCCCACAGACTAAGGTCAATAAAATATTCCATGGCTATTACGTCTCAGCTGGCCATCTGCAGCTCAGGGACTTCCCAAGCCAGAGACCGTATTTTGATGTTTACTGCCTCTCATGGATTTTTCAGGCAGGAATTTGTCTCTGCTTTTTGAATTTATGGGGCAAGGAGTTTAGCTATATATTAATGAAGAACAGCCTTCTTATGTGTCTTCCAAATTGGCCACTGGACATTCACTGTCCCTACTTCTACTGAAAAATAATAAACAATTACTCCTCATTCACCTTCTCCATGCTATTTATCATTGCACAGACATCCACTGCATCTTCCCCTTCTCTCATCTCTCTTCCCAGCTGAAGTTTTATTTTAAACTTCACTTTTAAAATTTATGCCGGACCTGTTTCATATTCTAGTGTTTGTTAGCCCTCTCTGTATTACTCTGTACTACCTTCTCAACAAGGACTAAAACTACCCACAGCACTCCAGGCAACATCCTGACCCAGAGGCAAAACAATGCTTTTGGTTGTATTCTCTTTTCCTAATAGTCACCAACATTCAATTTATTTTCAGGTTTTGTTCATTTCCCCTAACAAACAAGCTTCATTGCTAGTGGCTAATTTTAACCAAATCTGACTGAGCCACAAGGGAGCTCAAAGCTATTGCACAGCAAGGTTCATCAAAGCAGATAGCTCGAAAAAGCATCCTTTTCGTGCCTTACAGCTGGAGTTCAACCGTTCAGCTACACACCATGGAATCTACCCAGGAACTAAACTGCCCCAATTCTAAGAACTGTTACAGGTAGGACATGTTCTTTAGCCACACAGCACAAAGCTTTATAAAAATCAATCTTCATTTGCTCTGCTGTTCACAAGGTTCATACAGCCTTCTTCAGGCTACGGGTTTTGAAGGAACTTCGAGTCAACTACATACTCCATTACTTCTTATAAAGCTTAAAATTAAAAGTTATGTGAATGCTGACACCATTCCCTTCCTCACGCAGTGCCAAACCCTCAGATTTAGAATTTCTATTCCTTATTCTCAAAGGTCATGGTCAGAACAGAAAGTGAGCTTTTACCCAAGATCCTTTCGTCCTGGAGCAGCTCAGTAGCTACATTTAACAATCCACTTCCTTAACAGCTCAGGCTCTCTCTGAACAGGGACACATTTTTACCCAGAAATCCACAGAATGAAGCTCACAGCTATGCCCGTTTGTCCCTTCGCATTCCAACTTCATCCATAACCACCACGTGGGGAAAGAGCAGCTTAATTTGTTAATCCCCCTGTTCAAGTCTTGTCACTTTTTCATTCTCCAAGTCTGTATTTTGCAGACTTTTGTTTTTTGTTCTACTAGGCATCTTTTACCCTGGATCATCTTCAGACTGTGACAAGTCAATCCAAGTATCTCATTGCATAAAAATATCAGATGTTCCTAACTTCTGTGAATGCTGCCAAGACTACTAACTGTACTTCATTTTGTTTCTATTATCTATATCGTTGCTGCCATAAGAAATAGTTACATATTTTAGATCAATGTTTCTCAAACTGTAAATCATCAAACCGAAGACTTCAAAGGGACTCTCAGTGAAGGGTACAGGAGAACAACATTAGCAGCACCGTAATTTCTCCACCGCAAGAGAATTAGAAGTGGCTGCAATTGTCAGCAAGTATTTTCAATAAGCATAAAACTGGCAGCTGCCTAATTCCTTCGGGTAGGGCAATGAGTATTAAAAAACAACAAAGCAACAGACCTGTAACCAGCAATTATATCAATAACAAAGGTGCTTCTCCTCCTGTGTCTCCAGTGCTAGGTGAACTGGGATTTGCTAACTCAGGATTTGCCCAGGTGTGACAGATACACTTGACTCCTCACTGTACTTTGGTTCAGGCTGACTAAGGAGCAACAAGCCTCACATCCTGGGGGTGAACCGATGAGCTGGAAAGCCCCTGGCTCACGTACAAAGGATTGAAGGAGTCTTGAAAAATATTTCGAAAGGTGGTTTTGAAACCCAAAAGTGCAGGATAACCAAAGCACTGAACAAGATATCAGAGCTAAAACGAATACATCTATCTTATCTACACTACTGACTAGCAGCCAAGTACTTCACTCTATAAATATTACCAAGAGGATGGGCCCAACTGGACCTCTCCCTGAATGGCAGCTGGACCACAGGTGACTCCTCTTGAGCAGGGATGCCTCTCATAGGCTAAGATTCCTCACCTGAGACTAAGAGACTCTTCCTTACCTAAGGCAGAGATCCCTTACCCATGACAGATCCTCAGTAAGTGACTGGTAGCATGCTGAATTAACCCTAGGAAACATTACTAATCCTACTCAATAGGCTACTCAGTATTATTATAAACATTGCATGGATAATTCCATTAGACAAACTGTTGACCAGGTCTAACACTAAGGTTGAATCTAGTTGCACCTAGGCTCCAGAAGGAGTTTAGGAAGCAAGGGGGTCCACTCTGAACCTCACGACTCAATGGGAGAGTCCTTCCTTACTCTTCCTGTCTCTGGTCTCTGTGTAAATCATGCTAACTCAATTTTCTTTTGTATATTCCTTCCATGCAGTAATTAATAAGGTGAACCTTGCCACCAAACTTACTGAACCTTGTCAAACCACTGTTAAACTTTGTTAAGTTTCATCAAATTTATGGAACACTGTCAAATTATTGTTTTACCTCAATAAAACATACTGCTGCTTTGCTTCTCTCTTCAGTGAGGTGCATTCCACTCGTCCATGACAAAAGGCAGATAAACCAAAAGAGTGCAAATCTTTTTAAGAAGCCTAAGAAGGATTCTCCTGTATTGAATTATTCTTGTGTTCACATTTCTCCTCTACTCTGCTCTGGCGAGACCTCACCTGCAGTACTGCACCAAGCTTTGGAGCCTTCTGTAAAGGAAAGACACGGGCCTGCTCGAGCGGGTTCAGAGGAGGCCACAAAAATGATCAGAGGGATGGAACACCTCTCCTATGAGGATGGGCTGAGAGAGTTGGGGTTGTTCAGCCTGGAGAAGAGAAGGCTCCGGGGAGACCTTAGAGCAGCCTTCCAGTGCTTCAAGGGGGCCTCTAAGAAAGATGGGGCCAACCTTTTTAGCAGGGCCTGTTGTGATAAGACAAGGAGCAATGGTTTCAAACTAAAAAGGGGCAGATTTAGACTGGATATAAGGAAGAAGTTTTTTACACTGGCACAGGCTGGCCGGAGAGGTGGCAGACGCCCCATCCCTGGGAACATCCAAGGTCAAGCTGGACGGGGCTCTGAGCAACCTGATCCAGCTGAAGATGTCCCTGCTCGCTGCAGGGGGGTTGGACTAGATGGCCTTTAACGGTCCCTTCCAACCCCACCCAAATCATTCCGATTATATGATTTCCAATTTATGTACCATGGTTTTCATCACCAAAGCTGGTCAAAAAAGGTCCAATACCTTACCTGAAGTTTCCCTACCACCAATGAAACCACAACTGCATCTAGTAATTTTCCAATCCCGAACCAGCTTAGATCTTCAAAACATGTGAAGGCTTACATGCATTTAAAAGCGTATATGGGCTAGTAAGAGCATTGCAAAGGCCACAGTAAGAGTAAAGTGACAATACAACCTTGGACATGGAGCCCCTCTCAGTACGTCTTTATTGGTTTGCAAGCTCACTGCCTCCAGGCAAAGGCCCATATTGAAATGCACCCACTCCCCAAACTCTCCAGCTTCTTAGAGCCGACATATTGTGCCTATGGCAAGTCTCCACCACCTCCATTTTGTAGTAAGAATTTGATTTACTGACATGAACAAAAAAGCCCTTACAGAAAAGACATTGTCTAATGAGCTACTGCATGACATCCACTATTCCCCGTGTCCTCCGCAGTGACCCACAGATCCATGTGTTTTCTCACAAACTGGCCTCCCTTGGCTAAAGCCATTCCTAGCTACTACCTCTGGCTATAACCTCCCTGGAAATGCATCTGCACACAAGCACCAGAGGAGGCATCTGAAGACTAGGACAAAGCTTCGTCAAGTTATAATTACTTGTCTCCTTACAGATAGTAGGGCTGATAGAAATGGCTTTCTCTCAGCAGCTGGACTTCCTGTCAGTGCTGTGGAGAGCAGGAGTTACCTTGGCCTGATAGGTCTGCTCAAGCTCCATTTTGTAGAGTTTGACTTGTTCATCATGTTGATTTCGCAGATCCTCCAGGGCCTGAGTCATTTTGGATTCGTACTCCTGTTGGCGACTAGTGTCCACCTCGACCAAACGATGCTCATGTCGTTTTCTTGTTTCCCTTATTTCCTACGTGCACAATAAAAAAAGGGGACAATTTCCCAGCACTAGGGTAAACAGTACAAGCAATTATTCAGACAACAATTCATTACTTCAGTACTGATTATTTAGTATATAGGACCTACAATACTAAAGGCATTTAAGCCTAAAAAGTGCTGCAGGTACTAACCACTGCAAGTTACCGTTCTCATTTGGTAAGATATAATTCTTAGGAGTGATACAACTTAAAGACAGGTTTAATACTAGACATATACAGCTTAAGTAAGAAGCTATTTTATGCCACACAAGTCAAAATGGGGGGATGGGAGGCAAAAGAAGAAAATGTGAATTTTTACATAGCAAAGAGAGATTCCATATGCTGCACTACAAACCCTTTCCTTCTTAATATACATCCCTACATCACAATAGCAGTATACAGGGAGTCAGATAAAAATAGACACCTTTTGTGAGCATTATATATACTGAAAAAATAATCATTATAGAGAAAGACTGCATCTTCAAATTTCACTTTTAAGCACATGCAAATGATGTCTCTTTTCCTACACACTGGAGGACCTCTACATGTTAGATTTTAATGATGTTAGCAATAAAGCAGCAACTCAAGCAACCCTGAAGACATAAATGTATTTTTTTTCTGGTCAGAGTTAGTATTAAGAAATTTTAATTTTTAGAGAAGTATGAGTTCTCTGTGCCTAGAACACTGGTCTCAAACTAGTGAGGTAAGACTTACTCATGCACTTATCCATGTTGAGCCCTGCAGAGACCTGGCCAGGCCTCAATGCATGGTATGACAAAGAAACAATTTCCCCCTTCAGGACAGGAACAACAAGCGAGTGGGGTTCTGAGTACTGGGAGGAGGCCTAAAGGTAGCAGCAGGGCCATGTGGAGGAACAGCAGGCAAGTGAAGCACTTTGCATGCCTAAACTGGAGTCATAGCAAGCTAACACAAATTCAGAGCGACTTTACTAGTTGTTTGCAGAAGTGCTCCACATCTAGAAACCGACTCTTAGAAACGTACCCTTCTACTCACAGCACTGTGCCCTGACGTGGTCTGGAAGAAGCTTTCCCTTCCGCAGTGAATTTTTATGCCGAGAAATCTAGCAAGCAGCAGTCTCAGTAACTGTAGGCAACGACCCCTCAGAGGCCACAAAAATATCGTGGGGGACTACAAAGTATGAGGTGAAGGGCTGAGCCGATCGAGGAGTTCAACACCACCAGAATTCGCAGGCTTCACTTGCCACAATCTCAGTCTCGATGTTCTAATGGAGCTTTGGAACCTTCACTGAGCCACATTAATTCACTAACCCAAAGGAAACCAATTCATTTTTCACACTGTGTATTGACTTGGTCCATACAAGGATCAAAGAGCTCCAAGGCTGGCTAAAGGAACAGCCCCACTTCAGCACAGTAAGCTTTAAGATTAGCTTCTGCTGTCTCATTTAGCTTCACCTTTAGTCAGCAGCAACACAATTCTCAAGAAGCAAAGACCGCGCAAGGGTCTGTCATCGCAGACATGTGCAGCAATTCAACTGCTCCAGTGCATGGAAGTGAGAGTGGTCAGCGCAACTCGGGGTGATTTACCCAGCTGGTTTCTTTGCCTGGCTCCAGCCCCTTTCCTTAGCTACACAGCCCTGCCCCATCCCTTAATCCAGTCTGGGCACTCATTTGATCCCATTTTAACTCAGCTACTAAGCTGGCAAAACTTAAACTCAACGAAAGTATGTTACTAGTTAACCAGGCTGAAGTGGTTTGGTGCATCGTGAGCCAAACATCACAAGTAGCCCAGGTGAGATGAAGGACAGAAGCATGGGGCAACTGCCCAGCAGCCACTGATTGAATGAGATTGCAGAAGAACCAAAGGTCAGAGTTGGTTTTCACAAGATGAAATAAACTGACATAAGATCGTGCTTCCCTTCCCCAGTCCCCACCTGTGCATTCCCACTACTTACTTTATAAAAGCTCTGGTCCTCACCAGAACCACTATGAGACAACTCAACTCACTGAACAGGCAGAAAACTACTGCTGCAAAAAGCAGGGTAATTGCATACTGTTCTCATCAAGGAAAACAAGTTATAGTCAGGTCCAACAACCACCAAAGCTGGTGCAAATAAGAAGTAGGGCCATGCAACCAGGTCCAGAGAGAGGGAACAAGACTTTCGCTTTCCCAGGGCTGTCAGCTGCTACATTAGCTCACCTGCCCATGGAATAATACCCTTGTTACTTAGCTCTCACACCAGCTCTGCCACTGACTTACCATGTAACTCTTGCAAAACCTTTAACTATTTTATTACTCCATCCATTTATAGCAAGGATAATACTGATTTTCCCCACCTGGACTATTTAGTAATTGCTCATAGTCAGTCTGAATAAAAGCTACATAAGCTTCAGACTATGTTGACAATACCTCCTCAAACACATTCTTCCTGAAATCCAGATCCTCTTGCAAGCTCTGGCACCTGTTCTCCAGGTCCACACGCATGAGTGTTTCCTTCTCCAACTGCTTCTTAGCCACAGCATGACCATCTTCAGCCTAGTAAAAAATTTTAAAGATAAAAGATTTCATTTTGTCTGGATCCTTACTTTCCATCCATAATCCCTTTATGATCTTCAATTGGTATATTTAGACCAGTTATTCACAACAACAAATCTAATGTCAAGCCACTGATTTATTAAAAAAAAAACAACCAACAAAAAACCCCACACAAAAAAACCACCACCACAACAACAAAACACACCACAAAAAAGAAAAGTGTGTCTGTGCTTATGAATATTTAAAACAACCTCTCACGGTTAGATACCAGTTATTTAAAACATAGGATTATTTCAACACCATATGATAATGGAGCAGAGGATTATTAATTCCTCAAGCACAGTATGTTGCATGCTCTTCTTTTTCTTGCTAGCACAGGCCCACTAGGTACCCCAGCGTAAGTTCAAAATTATGCAGGACCTTACAAAGGACAACAGCTAGTAACCTGATACTTCATGAACGTAGAAACACTTACCGGAAATTTTTAAATAGAAGCTTTTGACTAGCAAAGTTTCTAAAACACCATGTTTCGGTTATTTTACAGAGATTGCTTAAATTTAGTTTTATATCCAAGAGGGCAGGCAAAAAAAAGCTGGATCAATGATGTTCAGACTATAAACTAACTGCAAAGAAAGCTAACAAATTTTACAATACACAGCCTCTCCTGTGCTGAAGCAAGGAAGCACTCACTGCCGTACCTTAGCAAGTTGGGCACGCAAATCGGCCACCTCTGCTTCCAGACTGCGCTTCTCATTCAGGACAGTATTGAGTTCTGCTTCACTTCGATGGAACAGCACTTCAAGATCCTTAATGCGACCCTGAGCCACAGACAAATCTGCATCTTTCTTCTTGTAGCTGAAAACCCAAAAGTTAATTATACTTATATGTGGGTGCAGACACATCTCGAGAATGTCTTGGTTACAACTACATATATTTCGTTCTTAGACACATTTTACTAGGATTAGTGTGCCACTAGGTGGCTCCTAGAGTAGCCTGCAAATGCAGCTAGTAACAGTGATCATAAACGGCTCTTAAAACTAGCAGCTTGTACCAATGTGTTGTAAATACATTGCCTAATAAAGAAGAACATATATCATGGGCAGGCAAGGGAAAAACAAGAAGGCAAATCTGACAGCTAAGAGACGACAATAAAGCTGCTTTACACACAAGGTGTAAAGAGTATTTTTTCATCTCACTGCTGCACAGCATATTTAATAGCTGACATCTATCACTTTGGACTACAGCCCCTGAGGAGCATACATCTCCCAAAGAGGTCCAAGAGCATCCCTAGTGTTTTGTACTTGATGTGGCCAAGCCCATTCCCTAGGATGGATTCCCACACATAGTACTAAAGTAATCTCCAATGGAAATGTGGTCACCTTTCAGGAACCAACCAGTACTTCTTCAGCAGTATTCATTATGAGCAAAGCAACGCTGGTCACTTTAAATATGATTATTTGAGCTGTCATATCGAACTCACAGAAATCATGAAGGTCATCTTCCTCCTGCCCACCAAGTATTTGTCTTCCTTTTCCTAACATACTGACCTTCTACAGCTTCTCTAGGTGTGTGTCCTTATGTTATTAAAAAAACATTTTGTTAGGTAAAGTAATCCTTCCTTGCTGCAGGTTAAGCTCACCGTTCTAGCCTCACACTGATGACAAATAGCCAAGGAAGATAATGAAAGAATGTCAGAAATTGATAAGGGCCCTGAAGAAACAATACTATTGATAAGAGAAGCATCACGACTAGAAGTTGCCCTAAGGCAACCTATCCTCATTATAATAGAATTAGCATAGCAAAAAGACCCCCCACACCCACGAAAAAAAACCCCTATCCACTAAAGCCCCTTCCCCACTGAGCATGAGCAGTACAATAAATGAATACTGTGTCTTTAATGGTAAGCAGAGAATGTATTAGCCAGCCAGCGATGACAAGAGGCAGGAACCAACCAGTGAATTAAGTTAGAGAACTGTTCTGTGCTTCGTAAAGAACACATAAGCTCTGTGACGCAGTAACAGGGGTGCTAGCTTTGTGGAGTTACCACCTAGCAGCCAGCTCTGCACAGACACGAATTAAGTATCTCAACTCTGCATTTTTTGGCTCATTGCACCCAAGTAAAGAACCCTGGTTTTTGGGACAACACCACCACTAAGAATGCAGAGAACGGCTTTTTGTCTTTTTCTCTTACACCATCTTAGAATTCATTTTTCTCCTTCCCTTTCCTCAAACTTCTCTTCTAGAGATCTGTAGTTTTCAGCCTGTGGTCAAGTGAGCTGCTTTTAAGGGCCCACAGAAATAACTCTGAAGAGGAGTCATACTTACCTATAGGCTTTAAAAAGCTCTGTATTTGGTCTACAACTCCAAACATGGAAAAAAATCACTACGTTTGCAAAGGAAAAAAAAACAACTGAAAACCACTGCTCTAGATTATACAAAACTTGCTCCCCAGCCCAAACCCTGAGTCTGGGTTCCCAAACTTCTGATCACTTGTACTGTCCTCTTGAATTTCTAATTTGCCCATAATTAACAAAATGTGATGCCCAGAACTTTCACCAAAAACCTGCTTTATAGGGTAACAGTGTGCCCTACAGACAGTATTTCTTTATATGCTTCAGCATGATGTGCACCTTTTTCTAACTATTTCTAACAGAATAAACTGACACACTTAGTTTGTGATACAATCTAGCTACGACGCTCATTTGTTCTCTCTGCATTCCTTAGTGCAGATCTCTAAATTTGTTTTCATTTAACTGTAACCAATTTTTCTTAATCATTCGTCCAGTCTGGCACTGTGAATCCTGTTCTGCAACATATGTGCAGTGTCTTCAAGCTCAGCAGCTTGCAGGAGACATACAGACAAAACATGACTTCTACTTAAAACAGTTACTTCACCGCAACCCGAAATTCTTCAAAATAGACTCTCCAGACACATGCCCCTCCACCACTATCATGTAGTAAAAGAAGCCACTGTGCTGTGTCACAAACACTCAGATCTGGAAACCTTCTGTCTGTGCAGAACCTAAAGGGCAAATGCCGCTTCACGCCGCCCATGAACACCCAGCCCACCTGCGGAAGGCAGCAGCGTGCAAGTATTCCCAGCGAGAAGTCTTCAACGTACAGCTTGACAAAGCACCGTAAAGAATTCCTGACAATGGCAAGTAACCTCTTTCATGAACACGGACACTGGAAGACACTCCAAGCTGCTTTCATTCACGTTATTATTTGCATTTGTAATTCCAACCTAGCTTATTGTCTTCATGCAAAAAACTGACAGGCTTTACAAAGGTGCAATCTGCTTTTGGGGGTCTCAGCTGCCTGGAAGTTACAAATGGCAGTCAACATGTCTGTTGAGATGGGCCACCATTCTTTGAAGGACATGAAGTTGGGTAACCCTCTAGAGCTCATTTTCCCAGAAAGCAGCCAAGTTCGCTCAAGGGAAATGCTGCAGTGACCCCAACATCTGCTGGAAAAGTAGCACAGCAAGCTGTAGACAATCCAGGAGACTCCTGAAGTGCACAGAGGAGAACTTCTTAAGCCAGGTAACAGACAGCCCTACTAGAGGGGATGCAATACTAGACCTGATGGTCATGAGCACAAGTGAGCTAAAGGGTGACATCAGGATTGGAGGCAGCCTGGGCTGCAGTGATTACACACTGGTGGACTTCACAGTCCTGAGGGATATGGTTCAGGCAAAGAGTAAAGTCAAGACCCTGAATTTTAGGAAAGCAAACTTCCAGCTCTTCAAGGAGTTAGTCAACAGGATCCCCTGGGAAACTACCCTCAGGGACAAGGGCATAGAATGGAGCTGGCAAATCTTTGAGGGCATTTTCCATGAAGCACAAGAGCTCTTGATCCCCAGGTGTAAGAAATCAGGAAAGCAAGGCAAGAGACCGGCATGGCTGAGTTGAGACCTGCTGGACAAACTAAAGGGCAAGAAGGAAATGCACAGGGAGTGGAAGCAGGGACAGGTATCCTGGGGAAGAGTATAGGGATGCTGCCTGACCATGTAGGAGGAAGGCCGGGGGCAGCTGAAGCTGAACTGGATAAGGAATGCAAAAGCTATTTTTGATTTGCTGAAGTTCTCCTTCATGCACTCAATGAGTCTCCTGGATTGCCTACAGCTCACTCTGCTAATTTCCCAGCAGATGCTGGGGTGGTTCAAGTCCCCCAGCAGGATGAGAGCCTGCAAATGCAAAGCCTCCTGTAGCCACAGTAAGAAGACTTCATCCTTAGGGTCCCCTTGATCAGGCAGCCTGTAGTTGACCCCAACAACCACAAGGTTCCCTTTGTTGCCTCGGTCTCTTAATTCTTACCCATAAACTTTCAACCTGCTCATGACCATTCTTCAGAGACAGCTCTTCACACTCGAATGTCCCTGCTCATTGCAGGGGGCTTGGCCTAGATGACCTTCCAAGGTCCCTTTCAAACCAAACCATTCTGTGATTGTACGAACCAACAGGGCACAGACACAAAGGCGGCTAAAGGCATCCTGGGCTGTATTAACAGGAACATGGCTGGTAAATCATGGGAAGTGATTATCTCCTTCTGACAGAGCACTTGGTAGATCACTTGTGTGTCCACTGCTGCATCCAGTTATGGACCCCCCAGTGCAATAAAGATGTTCATAAATTGGAGCAAGTTCAGCTAAGACCACCAAGGTGGTCAGAGAGTTGGAGTACATGTTCTGTTAAAAGAGGCTGAGGGAACCGAGTCTGACCAACCTGGAGATTAAGGCAGCTTTAGCAGGACAGAATGACAATATGTTAAAAGAAGGAAAACGACAAACGAAATACCAGTTTTTCAAATACAGGAACTCAGACTCTAATATTTATATGGGTAAAATCAGACAAAGGCATCAATGAAGAGAAGTAGAGGGTACAGGCATAAGCACAAAAGAATTTGAAGATTATGAGTCAACCTGGCTTTTGTAAGGGGAAGGTAAGGGGGGTACACGGGGCTAAAACCCCTGCCTAGCAGGGCTCTGTGAGGGCCCTACCTCACCTCTGCCCAGAGAGGCCATCACAGATCTGGTTCTGCCACACCCATGCAGCTCAGAGGGGTCTTGGGAGACATCTCCAAGTCTGATGTAAAAGACTACCTGGAGCTTATCCTTCTCCACACATCAACAGGCTCAGGAGCACTCAAAATGCAACTGTATTTAAGAAATTATTAGTAAATACAGAACAAGACACTGGACACTGTCACAGTACAATCACATCTTGAATACTCATGAGATTCCAATTCTGCAGTCTTCTTCCCCAAGAGGATACACTAAAACAGGAAAGATGTTGATTGAAGGCAAAAGCAGCTTCTGTAGAAGCAGCAACTAAGTAGGTAAGATGTGGAAAAAAAAAAGACAATCTTAGGAGATATGAAGAAGGAGAACACAAAAATCAGAGGATAAATGAACAAATGGAACTGGGATGCCGCATTCAAAAACATGTTTTTCTTCATACAAAACATAGGTAAACTCAAAATCCCCTCGCTCAGTCTAAGAATCCTACACACAGATACTGGTCACACTATGAAATGAAAACCCTGACTACACAGAATCCAACTGGACCTCAGGAAGTCCCTTAGCTGAAGGGAATTGCTGAAGACTGGAAGAGTATTCCAGAGAAACATTGTTATACATGCTCCATTCTTATACCATTCTCTAGATGCCTATGAGTGGCTTCTACCAGAGACAGATTACCAGGCTAGAAGGACTTTTGGTCCAATTCAATACAAACTGCTCTACAAAATGCCTTGGGACGCTTTTTGTTGACTTACTAGGCAAGACGATGTCCAATTATCACATGCACTAAAAAAAACCCAAAATATGTGCCAGGGCATCCAAACCCCAAGAGCTGAATTTGTAGTCACCCAGAACACGAGGGTAGTATGACTTGTCAGTATCTGAACAAGTTGCAGAAAGACACAAGCACAAGTGCTTGCACTGAAGTCCAGTATGCCGACAGACATACCATGTTCTTTCCCAGCCCATACACCCTGTCACAAACCCTTGTGTACCAGCTGAGGGTCCTGCCGTAGGCTGGTCAGCTGCTTCTCAAATCCATTGGAGTCGTGCAAGTAGACAGTCTCAGGCGCAAACTAAGATGAGCGTAAACCTCCAACTCCTTTGGACCCAAACTAGGCCTGATGTCACCACACCCAACCATATCCTGTAGCCTCCCTGGAGCGTCCTCAGTGCCTTCAAGGCTTTCCATGTTCACAAACCCAGGAGAAAAAAAGGAAGCAGAAGTCAGCTCCTGAAGCAGTAGGTTGACTGTATTTGGATCCTATAGCTAGAACAGCACTGCAAGCCTGTGGCTCAGCAACTAAAATTCAATTCACTCTAATGTTAAAGAAACATTTTCCAGATATCCTTTCAAGCTAATGTTTTCTCTACTTTGCCTACTCCAACCATCTCTCTTCTTCTCCTTCTCTCACATAGGAGATCAGAGGAGAGATCGTCCCAAGACAGAAGTCTATTATATACTGTCCCAGCGACCCAACCTATTCCAAGCAAACAATGAAGTAGAGTCCCTCCTGGCCAGCTACGCTCTCCTCTGTCATGTGCTTGAAAGAGAGACTGAGGCAATCTTAGTGAACATAAAATTACCACTAACCCACTCTTCCACTATACACAGTTCTCCAAGCACTGAAGCAAGCTTGGCATGCAAGAAGCACCATCTGTCTGCCAGCATGGGCAGGGAGGACTTCAGTCATGAGCTATGTGTCAAGGGGACGCTGTGCAAACCAGGCAAAGACACTTAAGAGCTGCATTTGCAAGAATCTCATTTAAAATCTGGCCACATCACAAGCATAACTTTCCACATGACCCAAGCTAGGCACCCTGAGAAGACTCCAAGTACATTACAAGTGTCTCAAGGGACTGGAAGTAGTTTGGTAGAAGAAACTTTCAAGCCAAGGAAGAATTCAATTCTACTCCTATGAACTGTAAGAACAGAGAGAAAACCCAGGTATGTTCTCCTCACATTTAGTCTATCTTAGAAAACAAACAAAAAAAATGTTTGAAATTAGTCTGGTAGAAATAACCAGTCATTGAAGTGACTGGTAAAGGGCAGTCCAAATTATCCAAACAAAGGGCAAGGGAGGTGACCCAAGGGAAAATACCATCTCCCTCACTTTAAGTGCACAACATTCTAACCACAAGGTATCTGTAAAATCTTAGTGCTGTCAAAAGCCTAAAGAATCAGAATCAGCTGGCACCAATTCTCATTAGCTGCCAAGTGAAGATACTTCTCACAAGGATACCTGAATCAAAATATAGAAACAAGCACCTTGCAGAACATGAGACATGAACCAAATTCCCAGTTACTGCTGCTGCTCTCTTTTGGAGCTTGCTTTAAAAGCCAAGCAAGCAGAGTATTCGCTGTCACCGAGACAAGAGAGACAACCTTGAGGGCCACATAACACTCACTGCCATGCAAAATGTTTTATCTGAAATAAATGCCAAGACTGCTGGCCTAAGGCTTTTAAGAGCGAAATCAGTCCCAACAGGAACATTGGGTGGCATTCATCTCGCTTCACTTTAGGGGTTTACGTCTGAGCTAGTTACCATCGGGTTTTTTACCGCTAACGAAGGCCTAGCTAACCGAGCCCATACATTTTAGCACACAGGTTGTCTGACCACACACAGGCATATCTTCTGGTATGAACTGTGCACCAAGTTCAATAGGCTCTGGAGTGACTTACCCAAACAGAGATGCTTACACTATAGCTAACCTGTATTTCAACAGTTATTTTAGGGGCAAAGTCCACAAAACGTCTCCGATGTCCGACTAACGAGAGCCCAGCACAGAAAATGAACACACAGTGATACAGAAAAGTTTACAGAGAAAACAAGAAATAATTCGCCATAGAACACCTAGCTCGTCAGAAAAAACACAAAGGAGGGAAACATTTAATTCCTTTTATAACCACTTAGATGCAAATGAAGGGACGTGGGAGACTTACAGTAGGCCTGTACTGGCACTGCTGGATTAAAAAGCAATTTTATGGCCAACAACATTCATATACAGGTGATACTTACTGACATACTCAGGAAAAAATCTCTAACTCCCAAATCTTATGTACTAAAATAGGTACCAAAATTCAATCAGAAGCAAAAGCAATTTTGCCACCACATATGTTAATTTTAAAATCAAGTTTCAACTGCTAAACTATTTGATTACAAAAAATCCCTAGTGGGAACAGAAATAATTGATCACATTTGGCTTCAGTAGCCAGTTTATTAGGCCAGTTCTCTTTGATGAAGACTGAACAGCAGTTTTTAAATTGTAGTTGGTACAGGGTCTTTTTCCAGCACCCCTACACTGTAGCTTCATGTGCATTCAAAGCAACACCGCTTCCATATTCCCAAATTGCTCAGGGTCATCCTTTTCCTTCATTTCCCCCATCAGTCAATACAATAAACCACACAATAAAATTGGTAATGTTTAAAAATTAACCTTCCGTGGCTGGGTCAATTTTAATCTAGATCAGTTTCTCAGTCCAGTTTACCTACCAAGCACTTGCACATGTGCATGCTCAGATAAGGAGAGGTACAATAGGATAGAAGCAGGCACAACTGATCATTTCAGCCTCTAGATGTCTGAATTGCTCAAATCACAGTATATTAATCTTATACCTACAAATACGTTTGTGTATATACTGGTTGGATTACCCGCTCTGACTAGCTATACCAACGAGCTGATGAATTTCCCATTGACAAGCCTATATCTTCTCAATGATCTGCAATGCTTCCAAAAGGCATTTTAAGAAGCATCAATAGCCTTATTCCCACTGCAAATATTGCCCATTCTAATTAAATAAATAACAAAAAACAAAACACACAAAAAAAAAAATCAGAGGACTTTCCTTACCTTTTATCGAACTCCTCGAGTTCTGCTCTCAGTTTTCCTATTTCAATCTGTAATCTAGCCCTCTCTTTGGCAGTTTCATCCAGAACTCTTCGAGCATCAGCCAGTTCAGACTCATAGAGACTCTTGATTCCACTCACCTAAGGGGGAAAAAGCATTCAGATATGAGAACATCCCAAAGACTAACTATCAAAGAACTGAAACACAGCACCAGGTTTCACATAGCTTTTTTTGAAAAAAAAAAGGTGTATGACATAATTTCTGTTGTTTAAGAACATTCCATACCAAACATTTTCATTTAACATGCACCTACAATTAGATGTTACTCAGTCACAAAGACAAGATTTATTTTTCATTCACAGTGGTCATAACAAAACACACTATGCTTGAAGTGTGCAAGTCTTCCAAAGAGATGAACTGAAGCAGACCAGTACGCTCTACAATCAGATCTGAAATTATTAACCTTCATTTCCAATACTGCTGCTTCGGAAGATTTTTTTTTAAAGACTTATTTTGTGGAATACAGGTCCGAGGCCCAATTCGATTCTGCTGCTCTTGCACTATGAAGCTAAAAAGAATCTGAAACTAGATGAACTACAGAACTGTGAACTGTTCAGAGATGAGCTTCCACTCCTGTTCTCTACCTCAGAGGATAAGGATCTATAGACCTCTCCCTGTCTCAACTCAATGTATTACCTAATCAGCTATTCAGACGGCAGCAAGGCACCTCAAAGTCTTCCACATCTTTATTTTTTTCTAGAATGCAAGATTACTTGAAAGGTGTATCAGATAGCTAAAACGTCAAGACCATGTAAGATTGTCACTATCACTTCTATGAAAGGATACCGGCACAACTATTACTAACGTGAATTCTGAAACTGAGCCATCAGAGAGCAAGAAGAGCCAAAGGCAGAATGTACCCACTTCAGGAAGAGAAATTTCATAACAAATCATAAAATGTAGAAACAAAGTAAACTGTGCTGTTCCAAGGAGTGCCTGTTTCAACATCAGAGTGGCACCAGTGACAGACTCAACCATCTGGTCTTCAAAAAGACTGATTAAAAGCACTCAGGATATAATTAAGTTCCTGATAGACTATATTATCATAATACTTCTGAAATTAACTAAAATATGATCGTATGAGGTTTACAAGCATACCACGTACCAAAGACGACTTGGCTGTCTAGCCATGCAATCTTACTTCTTTTCTTTAAAGAATTAATCCTTTCAAGCTTTATTCAACTTAAGTTTTTTGTTTGGGGTTTGTTTTTTTTTTTCTCCTCCGTAGCTGATAACCTCTGGCTATCTATAGCACAAGCCAACATAACTCTGTATAATCAGTTACAAAATTTAGTAAGTTCTACGAAGAAGTGTACCATGACTATGCTAAATTCTTTCATACAGAACACCACAATGTCAAGAAAAAAAACAACTGGGAGATTTTAAGGCTGTAAAGCCTTTCACTATGGATGGCCCTGGAGTGAAAATACAGTCTTTGCAAATTGCAATACAGAATACAACTGCCCGAAGGCCAAGCACTGAGTCTGCCCCATAAAGTACTGCATCTACAGCACTCCTCCTCCCTTCCTAAAGTCATCTGCCCTTCGACACTTCAATGTGCCAAAATCCTTGCCTTAGGACATCTACCCAGAACTTGGGGCTGTATTGCTGTAGAGACATGCTGAATCACATGCAAGATACAAGGACAAATCTCTTCCCAGTACTCCAGGGCACAAACTGGAATTGCACGTCAAGGTACAAAGGAAGAAAGCCTTTTTTCATATGTTTTTGTGAATACTTTCACAAAAAAGCTGTTGCTGGTGTGATACAACAGGCAGTAAATAATTTATGCTTTTGAGGCATTAGAGACCATACAGAGCTTAACAACACTAAAACAATATTCTGAACAGAGAATAAACTTAATGCAATGCCTGTGCAGAGAAAATATAGCTAGATGGAGCTAAAAATTGCATGATGAAAGCAGTTTCAGAACCTGTTGGTAAAGAGAGAACCAGAGACTGCTGCTTAATTAGAAAGGACTGATTCATTCACAGCATAACCAGTTGTGGTAGCTTAGTATGTATTTTTCTCCTGCATCATGTTAACCTCTTCTCTGCTCTTATTCCAGTAACAGACATGAGAAGGAAACACACAGGTCCAATTCACAATCCAAAGTGCTGGTCGAAAAGCCACTATCACTTGCATTTTCAGCTAATGCACTGAGCAGACAGAAGTAATTGAGACTTAAGGACAGCTTCCAGCACAGGGAGGCAGCAGACAGCTAGGAACAGTAACACCTTCAATCATTGGGGGAAAAAAACCCAACCAACCAACCAAACCCACCAAATCACCAGATATACACCACCAAAAACCAAACAAAAACCCTACCCAAAATAAAAAACCCCACCCCCCAAAAAAAAACCAAACCAAAAAGAACATTCACCAGTACTCTAACTATGGATTCATGATAACATTGATAAAAGTTTTAGACGATCAAACTGAACTGGAGGACACTTCAAGAGGTCTTTCTAGATCACAAAAAATAACATCCTGTTTATTTTCAGCACTGGTCAAGCAAAGAGACAATCAAATGCAGAGGTAGGTTCAAAAGAAAGCAAGTAGCGCCAGCTCAGCTGAGCTCGCCTGGTGTTATGTGCTTGACAACACTCCTAGCTCAAGACGGTTATTCACTGAAAGTATGCTACTACCCCAGCACTGAGAGAAATCCTGGGAAGTATTTCTGTTCCTTGAAACTGCCACCCCTCATCCTCTGTTCTGGTGGCTTAACTTACGTCTACTGAGTCTCTGAAAATCTCCAAAGTACAGTCCCAAAATCATCCCTGTTGAGTGCACACATATGATTTTGCTTTGTTTTGACTCTACAGACACTCTTCCGCCTGCTCGCTTTTTAAATCACTTTACATTCACTACTCAGTTTGGTCTCTAGTACAGTGACACTTCCAGCCATTCTTAAAAAGATGCCGCTAGAAGGTCCCTCCTGAGCCTCCAGGCTGAACAATCCCACCTCTCTCAGCCTGTCCTCACAGGGGAGCAGCTCCAGCCCCCTCAGCATCTTCATGGCCTCCTCTGGACCTGCTCGAGCAGGTCCATGTCGTTCTTACGCTGGGGGCCCCAGAGCTGGATGCAGCACTGCAGGTGGGGGCCTCACCAGAGCAGAGCAGAGGGGCAGAATCGCCCCCCTTAACCTGCTGGCCATGCTGCTCTTGATGCAGCCCAGGATGCGACTGGCTTTCCATGTGCCCTCGCATAGTTTCCAGGAGGACCCACTCCATGATCTTGCTGGGCATAAAGGCGAGACTGACTGGCCTGTACTTCCCCAGGTCTTCCTTTGTTAAAAATGAGGGTTATATTTCCCCTTTTCCAGTTGGCAGGAACTTTGCCGGACTGCCATGACTTCTCAAACACGATGGATAGTGGCTTGGCCACTTCATCCACCAGTTCCCTCAGGACCCACGGATGCATCTCAACAGATCCCACAGACTTGTGCACCTTCAGGTTCCTTAGAAGGTCTCATCACACTTCTGAGCAGAGTGCCGCCAGACAGCGTCTACCTGTCCTTGAACACTCCCAAAGAACACTGGACACCAGAGATAACCTGTCTGACTACATCTTCCATTTCTTGTCATCGTCTATCAGTAGAATCTGTCAATGCAAATTCCTTCATTTGTTGTTTCTCAACATTTGGTTGCATTACCACAACCCATTGTCTCCCGCTCCCCATATCCGAGAAAGACAGAAACTCATCCTTCAAGCCTATGCCAATCCTTCCAGTGTAAACCAGTAAGAAGAGCAGCTGGTAGCAAATGCAAAAAAGTACAGCGAACAAGGCAAACATACAACGATTCTTCACTCGTATATACTCCCAACTTCTAAAAATAATCATTTAAAAAAAAAAACCAATTCTGAGCCAAAAACTGCTTCCAGGCACTAAAACCGACCAGTCACCAAATACTGTTAATTTGTCTAATCCTTTTGTAAATCTCTTTGGCTTTTGGTTTCTACAACATTAGAGAGTATCACACAAGCAAAACTGGTAGATTAAGACCTACTGCTTAATAACTTCATTTCATGCCTTTAGTTTTCATCTTTTAAAAAATTCTGAATATTTGCTTCCTAGACAAATCTCTTTGTTTGGAATCGTGACTTAGAGACCTCAGGTTCCTTCTCATCTCTTCCAGATTTGCTCCTAGTCAGAATTATTCTGCTGCTCTGCTTATCTTTGTCACCTTTCCTTGCACACATTTTAAAAGACCTAGAGCCTGGAAAAAAGTTAAGAGAACTGCAAGCAGCATTCAAAATACAGAAACAACACTGATTTGCAGTGATTATTGACCACCAGCTACAAAGGAAAACAGGGACATTACAGGAGATGAGACAGAAAGTGCAGTAATTCCAGCAGGTTTCGATGAGCCCAAGCTGTAACCCAGGAGGTGATACCCGAGCTGTATTTTCATACGCTAGTAGCGAGTGCCATGGAGGGGCTAATCCAGGAGCCACAAAAGAAAGCAACTCTTCATCTGATTCCCAGCAGCATATAGGAAAAGGTTTGTCAAGATACTGTCAAGAAGTCAGTTGACTTGGTTCCACCATCCTTGCAGAAGCAAAAGAAGCCAAAAAAAGATAAAATGTATGACTGTAGCAATTGTTTCAGCATAGCAACTAGGGAACACTGAGGTGTTTGTTAAAACAAGTTAAAAAAGCAGTTAAGTATAAAATCTTTCTAGAAAGCAAGATATTGTATAAAAACATAATCATAGGCTAAGAAGAGCACAAATATTTTAAGAGTGTCAAAACAAGGAGGATATAAGACATAGTAAAGCATTTTTCAAAAAGCTGAGGTCATGTACAGACAACAAAAATAAAATTGATCATGACTTCTGTTGATCACAATACAACATGGCAAGACAAAAGAAGTTTGAAGAACAACTCATGAATGGTGTAGAAAGTAATTACTCTTGCTCTGCCCATAAAAAGGCATACGTGAGAGTCTACAGCCCCAAGTTGATCAGTTTATGTAGAAGAACCATCTAAAAAAAAAATGCAGTGAAAACATACCTTTTGGGTTGTTGTTTGTTTTGGGGTTTTTTTACTTATATTTGCACTAGAGGAATCTTTAAGATATTTCTG